TCTCTCTCTCACTCTCTCCGAAATTTTTCTTTCCCGATCGGCTTTTCTCAGGACTCGCGTTGGTCATGTAAAATACACATTCTCTGAGATATATAATTTAGATTTATTCATTTGTCGTTATTATAATTTTGCATATCTTCATTGATCTACTTTTCAGTCGTATATTTTTACGCGTCTCTTGTTTTTTTAAGGGGACCAACCCTCGCGGCTTGTCCCGACCGGCGCGGCGGCGTGGCATCGGTCGCAAATGTCAATTCCGAGACTAAGGATACGCGCGCATGCTGCGCGAGAGCGCTATCGCGCGCGGAAAGTAATTTCGGCAATACATCTCCGCGGAAGTTTCTCCGGTTTTTGTTGCTCTCTGAAAAATGGCCCCGACTGATAACGCGGATACGGCGCACGCATACACATGCCCGCACCATACACACACAGGGATGAAGATATTATTTCATTATATTCCGCGTCACGCTCCTTCTGAAATTACGCCCGGGGCTACGCGCCATTCGTCTGTTTCTCTTTCCCTTTACTCTCTTTCTCGCTCTCGCGCGCGTTCCGCATCATTTGTACACGGCAAACGCGGAACAAATACGCCGCATTATAGGTATACATGAGCAAGGCGTTTGAGAGTTTCGGAGTCGAATCGGACGTAAAACATTATAACGTTCCCGGTATTTTCGACCGTTTCGTTTTTCCGCGGTTCCTGTGACAGATTTTTTCCGATCCGATCCGATTTTTCTCAGTGAGGAAATCGGCGTAGAGCCGAAGTTCGTATTTATCACGATTTCTTAATTCTCGACATTAGATATCTTGACGCAGCTTTAAGTTGATTTTATTGCATTGAAGTTAACCGAGAAATAATTTTTCGGCAGCTATTTAAATTCTTGCGGATTAATTCGAGGTGAAATCTTGCAATATTCTCGAAAGAAGATCTATTAATTTTGAATCTTCGATAAGATTATACAATTCGCGATATAAGATATACGCTTGATACATATATGTATGTATGTACAACGCTTGAATTTTGCGCGGATAGGATCATTTGAATCTACAGTACGTATACGGTGAAAGAGAGCCGCGCGTATTATAGAAGGCAAAAATGATTAAAACGCGGTAGGCGCTATTTATCGACGAACACGCAGTAACAATGTTCGATGTCGCCGATAATGCGTTGTTACGGGGTTACGAGGTTTACGCCAAAATACGATAACAATAAAATCACCCGTGGTTACCGTATCGAACTCGATTACACTCTACATCGGACATTGTGCTACCGCCCAATAGAGCCCCGGCACAAATACTGATTTCGTGGTGCATGTTAATTGATCTTCTTGTATGGAGTAAAAAAAAAGAACACACAAACTAAAAAATATGTTTTTAATCGGAAACGTGGTAGAGCTTAAACGATCAGAGTTCTGTTAAAATATTTCATACTTACATGCCAACATTATCGTCGAAGAGTAAGAGCGATTCACATTAATGTCTGAGAAAAAGAAAGCCCAAAAATCACGTTTTTTTTTTCAGAAGCAACTAGTAAAGGTGTAGAATCATGAATATATGCATTTTCAAATTAAATAAATGATACGAGTGATAAATTCGTTCAAGTTTTGAAGCTCTTATACGTATAAGCAATTCTTATTTCAAAATAAGCTTTTTAACGCAATTTTATGCGAAACTACAAGTGTCTTATTCAGTTATCACGTTCTTTGACTGATTGAATCTACCTTCCTCATTACAACAGCGTAGATGCGTGAAAACTGATAATGAACCTATTTCCGTCCGCTTCTCAGACACTCAGGTGTAAGAAGCAATAAGAAGCGTTCCCGAGGGAGCTCAGAGGAAGCTCCTCCGCGCGGGCGAGCTATCGCGAGTTTTCGCGCGAGCCGCGCGCGGCACGCGCCGTCGTATTTCGCGCGACGATTTTAATTTCGGCGAATTTCAAAGGCATTTTTGCGAAGGATGGGAAGCGTCAGTTAAAGAGCGGCAGGGGGTAGGGGGGTACCGCGAGGGGGGAAGAGGAGGAGGAGAAGGAGGGTGGTGGGATGAGGCGGGAGGAGGAGAAAGAGGAGGGAATCGTCGATTGGCTTACATGCCACCTGTAGCACCGCGGGAATGCGGTCGACTCGCGCTCGTTGTGATATCGCTTAGAGGTCGGGAAGGGATTCATCAATAAAGTTTACTATTTTTCCGATATCGTTTTTCCAATTCTATAAATCGTCGTGTGCTCGGCCCCACGGCTCGTACACGGCAACCGTGCGCGCGCGCGCGCGCGCTCACATATACATATACACACGTGCGTGCGTACGTGCAACGTATCCGCGTACCTACTCGCGCGCCTCGTTCGCGCGCTGCCATACACACGGCCGCGGCCGTGGAGCCCAGTTATGAATGGCCTACGTCGGTTGACGTTAATCTGCCACTTCATCTCTCTCATCCAACCTCCGCGCGCGCTCTCTGTACCGCGCCAATCTCACTCCATCCCGCCATACCCCCGGTCCTCCTCCTCCTCCTCCTCCTCCTCTACCTCCTCGTTCTCCTCATCCGCCACCCTCACACGCGCCCGCCTCGAGCACCCCACACCGGCGCGCCCTTCCGCGTTGCACTCCATCCCCCAACCAATTGTTTCGTCGGGGGAGCAAAAAAAAAGAAGCACGAGAGAGAGAGGGAGAAGGGAAACGACGGGACGGAATGAAAAAAAGGAGAGAGAGAGAGAGAGAGGAACTCTGTCCCGACGAAAAAATGCTTCGGCCCGTCCGTCCGTCCGTCGCGTTACATACGCGTGGTCACCAAATTAAATCGCTCGTTGTTTCGGTCGCACATCCGTCCGTTCGTCCGTCGGCGTGCGAGAAAAAAAAAGGTGCGGGCGGGCGAGCGGGGAGGGGATGGCATTCATGGGGTATCTTGAAACGCGTGCGGACCGTTTTGCAGAAAACGCCACAGGTTTTCCGCGATCTACTCGTTGCCGACGAGTTTCGCGGTCGCGTTTTCAGTGGCGGATTTAAACTTACCTTAGATGAGTGTAATACGGATTAGTCGCTCTTTCTCTCCTCTATCTGCGAAATAAACAAATGATGAAAAGATATTTTTCTACTATGTCAGGTCCATTTTACAGTTACATTTAGTTCGTGTGCGAAATCAGTCTTGGATTTTGCGTGAGAAGTAAAACACTATGAAGATTCTTCAGACAGCTCATTATAATAAAAAAGAGACGTTCATGATTTAAAGATAAAATTGTTTAAAATGACAAATTTATTTGCAAATCATATGTGATAATGTCGATTTCGTTTACAGAATCTATACCTTGCCTAGAGCACAATATTATCTTTCTTAGAGAGCCATATGCTCTCTAGGAAAGGTAATATTTGCCATGCAGAATATTATAGCGTATCTATCATATTACTTATAATTTTAATTTTCCACCATTGCAATTCTCTCTATATATAACTGTAAAATTATTTAACATTTAAAGTTCCAAAGTTCTGACGAATTAAGATTTCTGTAACACAATACCGATAATGAAATCTTATCCTTTTCGTACCGTACATTTCCAACCGGCTCTAATAATTCTTCGCGAAACTTAATTTGTGGCTCGCTTACTAAAATTAATGTCGAACATCCTAAAGTCATCCGCGCGACAAACTCTCGTCTGAGGGAAAATCACTGGGGTCCGTCGTTAAAATTAAGATCGAAGCTTTCGTGATATTCTGTTTGGTGCATTCGTTGGGCGATTAAAAATTTAAGGGCGATGTCGCTGCAAGCTGCCGAATAAGAGCGCTTTCGCACGGCCCGGTTTTAGCATCGGGCTGCGGTGGTGGTCCAGTAGTCGCTCTCCCGACGATGCCGAAGGATACCGATCGCTGTCCTGTAAGATTTATTTGACGACACGAGGGTGGAAAACGAGGGCGAGGGAGGAAACGTGGGAGATTTCAAAGGGAGCGCGATCATTCATTCGGTGTAAGGTTGAACAAGGGGAGAATTCGATCGAGAGGGAAAGAAACATTTTATTTTTAACTCTTGTATTTTATTCCCTTGTGACAGACGAATAGTTATATACTATTTTGTACATATGGAAAGTATCAAGATAACAGAACAAATTCTCCGGATCATATACATTTCACGAGCCGCATAGCGCGATAAAAAAAAGCGTTTTTTTTTTTTCATTCCATATACAATTTATATATTATCTATTTAACACTGCGCGGACACTGTGTGCTTTCGGAGCACTCACCCGGACACCCTGGGACTTTTAAGTCCAAAGGGTTTTTGAAAGCGTTTCTGTGTTACAAAAAATCTATAAAAATTCATGTATCATCCTTAAGGTTTCAAAAAGTGATTTCTATACTTACGTAGGCCGGAACTATTGCATTTTTTCCATTCCCGTAGGAACATAAATAAAAAATCGACTGTGCCTTAAAAGGTCCACTGTGTCCGCGCAGTATTAAATTTATGTATGTAATTTATGTAAAAATCTTAGCATAACGACGCGTAAGTTCTGAATCATCAAATATTCATTAAGGAGTAAATTATTGATCTCAGGATGAAAATTATGAAAGAATTTAGAAGTTTAAAAATGTAAAAATACATATTATTATCTTTCTATGTATATAAAACACTTTTTCGTTTTAATCTTACGAGCATTCTCGGATTTAGTTACGGAGAAATATATATATACAAATTCCGATGTTTCATGATCGCGAGGCCATAAAAAAGGGCGCTGCCTTCGGACTGACAGCTTTAAAAATTAATCTTGAGTAAAAAGTAAGTATAGAGCATACATATACAGCGACACGCGCACGTGCGTACACGATCGCGAGACGTATCACAATCGCGCGGAAGGTCGGCGCATATAGGCTAATTAAATTACATATAGTAATTACAATCCCGGAGTCTCTTACGACTGGCGCCGCGTTCGCTCTCTTTAAAAATACGATATTCTCTACGATATATGTACAGCACCCGCGATTACAGACAGTGGCGGAAATCAGCAGGTGCATTAAATAACACGCTTCTTACGGCGCGGCGGTATAAGACGTACGTTGTAAGAATAACAATCGGCAGCGTTAAAGCGCACTCGCGCGCACGACGTAATCACTTCAATTTCGCGTAACTTACCATCATCCGTCCGCGTGGCTGCATCGTGGTATATAAACACTACTTGTATTTATGGTCCATAACTTCGACAGACGAACACTTCGTGTTCCTTGCGTGCACATACGTTTGTTCAATACCACTGCGGAAGGTATTGGAGCACGAGGCTCGTCGAAAAAAGGATGCGTTCTTATCTAATAACTTTTCACCGATTAAAAAGGCCGATGTGAAAATTTATTCCGTACGCGATTAAAAAAAGAGACGTTTCATTAGCGACGTATTAACGTCTACCTCTAAGGTCTGAAGATGATAAAACGAGACAATAAAATTATACTACGTAACTGTAAATAATACTACTGTTTATAATACATGCTTGCTCCTTTCCGAGCATCCGTATAAAGGCACTCATATTGTAATAATGTATAAATCTCACTGTTACTCCTCCATCCCTCGTTCGCGCGTAAATAAATTAAAAAAAAAGAAGAATATTTTCGCAAACACACATTAAAAGTATGTACATACACTTGAAAGCTGCGCATGGAATGTGAATACAAAAATTCTTATGTACCTACGAAAATATTAAATATTACGCGAATACCTAAATTATAATTTCCGCCCAACGAGACTTATTTTCCAATTATTCTCTCGGCTCCAATTATTCTCTGACTCAATCTTCCTGACTTTATTCAATTTTCATTTCGCTTGAAAATCGTGCGTTACGTGACATAAAAATTAAAGCAACTGAATTTTCACCACGTTACAAAATTGTACATATACGTGTGATAAAAAATTACGCGCGACTTTGCCCTCGTTTTGGGCTCCGTCCGCGTTCAAAGTGCATCAGAAGGTTAAAGCTACAGTGTTCTTAAATAATGTAATCAACCGCGGGAGCGGAAGTGTAAATTACTGATAAGAACGAGCGGAGCATTTGAGACGCCGAGAGAGAGAGAGAGAGAGAGAGAGAGAGAAGTCGGCATGAGAGGGGGGGCGAGATTAAATATCTCGGGTGGACGATTACTAAGTTATCTCCCCCGTTGGATTATCATCCCGTGCGATTAATTGGCTCGATACTTGTAAGCCCCGCGAGTTTCTTACATTATATATCGGATCGGTGCAAGTCGGTGATAGGCAGTTCCGCGCGGATCGCCTGGCGAGCGTTCTTCCGACCCTATAGCGCGTCACACTTCGCACCTGCATCGATGTGCGAAGAACCTCTTGCGATCGATGCATCCGTGACTCTGATATGTGCATTTCTTGTTTTTTTTCCCCTCTTTTTTTCCAGTGGAATGTAAAACGTTCGTACTCACTATTTCGTACTGAGCAATTTGTACGTTAATACGAAAATAAATCTCGTGCGTTCCGGCATTCGATCGCGGCTTCGAGGAAAACCACTACTAAGAGCTCGCATGTTACACATTCCTCCCTCCCCACCTGATCGAATCAATCGTCTCGGAAAGGACGTTACTCCGAAATCCTTATTTCTTGGGAAACGCGAGGGCCATTTGCCAGCATCGATACAATCGTACGGAGCCATTCTGTCGCTGTCTCATTCCGTTATCGCTCATTTATCAATGGCCGCGATGCAGCCGGGTTTGTTGCATAAATGCGCGCCTACTTACACCGCGGTGAAATATTGTAATTCGTTACTTCCTGATACTCGCTTGTCCTCATCTCTCTCCCATTCTTTAAATCAGCTGTTTCTCTATATACCTAATACCTATCATTTTTCATTTACAGTTCTGATGTATTTACTTTATTTATTATCATTTCGTGTTATTTCTTACTTTATATATCTACATTTATCTTTATTATATTCTATTATTATTTGTTTTCGTTACCCCTCTATCTATCTATGTATAATTCTTCTGTACAGACTGTATTTAGAAATACGTGTGCGTATCTACGCCAGTATATGTGTATGCATACTTTGTATATATGTACATCATTTAAGCTAAGAGAGTGTTAAAGGTTAAAAAGCATTGAGCCAAAACAAGTTAATACTTATTTTTATATTGACGTCACTAGTTTAAAAAAATTTTTTTATTATTATACTATTATTAGAGTATCTTTTCCTAGTATTTCTGCTTTGTCTTTTAAGTCTTACCTTCATATGCACAAAGGTATAAAACTTCAAGTTCAGATGTTCATATTTGGAATTTTAGTATCATAGAGATTTAAGAGCGGTATCATTGCCCTCGCTCGTTAGTATGCAACTTTAATTTCTATTATGCTTCTGCTCCTTTACGTACGACACGTTACGACTACTGTACTCGGTAAAATTGATATTATTATTATTATTACTTAAAAAAAAATCAGGTACAGCGAAAATATACCTATATTTTTGGAACGGACGAGTGATTCGATCTTTTCCGAGACGAATGACGCGATTCCATATATTCCCCGCCCCTTGAAATCGCTCTCTTATCGTCTAGGTGAATGTGTCGCGCTCATTCCCTCCAGGTCGTGATGTCCTTCATCTCCCGGCCCTCCGAGACGTCGACGACGGCGGGATTGAGCAGCTTCTTGGCGCTCTGCTTGCGCCGCACGTCGTAGCCGCCGATCTGGCCGTTCTCCAGGGGCTCGTTAAGGGCGTGCGTCGCCGCGACGGCGGCGGCGGTGCGCTCGAGGCAGAAGTGCCCGCACGGCACCGTCACGACGAACAGGCCGAACAGAAGCCCGAGGACGTCGCCGGCGAGAACGTCCCACCAGTGGTGCCGGTTGTCGCCCACTCGGGTCATCGAGCACGTAACGGCCCACATGCCCATCAGGCACTGCAGCCACGGCTTCAGAAACAACGTCCGGTTCGGCAGACGGTTCTGCAGGTACCACTGTACGCGGATGCGACAAAAAAGCGAAGACGTTTTTACAAGACGAAAAAAAAAAAAAAACGGAACTCTCGTATTAATATTATTCATCTGCACGACTGGTTCTATTCTCGTATCATTATATAATAATATATTTTTATTCGGCGGTGAGAAAAGAAAAGCGAGAAGAAACCGATCCGTAATATATCTTCTATCCGAGTGCTTTGTTTTTTTATTCTCTTCCTTCTTTCTTATTTTAGAAGCGGAGTTACGTTCGTTTTCGAGAAATTTCGCGGCTCTCTCGTATTCGTCCATCCGTCGCGCGCATCCGTTCCATGAAAATCGATATGCCGCCGGTGGATTTTTTTGCGGATTCTTTTCCGTCGTTTAGATACTGACTATCGATACCGGACGGAAGTACTCGATGCCGACACCGCAGTTCTCTGTATTGCCAACCGGCAGCCGAGCTTTATACGGATAAATTAATTGGACGTTATGCTTTCCCGATTTTTTTAACGGTATAAAAGAATGATTTTCGTTAAGTTTTTACGTTGTAAAAGAAAATTTTCTTAAATTCTTACCACCAAGAAGATGCTCGTGTAGACGGAAAGAGCTGAGTGACCAGAGGGGAAGGATTTGCTGGAGTCATTGACGAACCAGTTGGAGAACTCGGTATTCGTGCACGTGTAAGAACTAACGTATCTATAAACAAAATTCGGAAATGTCATTGTTTTCGTTGTCTCGGATTAGGCACGGATTAGGATAATATTTAAAGTAAACGTTTTTAGAAAATTCGGAGTAATATTTCAGACAAAATTCTGATACAGCTTCCATCTCGATTTTACTAATAATTTATGGACAAATGGATACTTTATTTTACTGCGAGGATATTTTTTAATGGCATATAAACAAATCGGATAATCCGGCAAGTACGTTGAACTTGTTATAGAACTCTATGTAACCGACCGCATGTAGCAGCGAGCAAGTTTACCTTCCTCGCGATTGATAAATATATCGACTTCTCTATGATTGATTATACAATGTATTATGTACTCTATTTTATATTTAAAAAAAATCCATCTAGTAAAAAAGATAAAAAGCTGTCGATTTATTTTGCGATAGAGCGTGAATAATAAGTCCGCACCTCGTGTTTTATTTCTCGGCAATCTCGGCATTGCTGAGGACTTATGCAATTATCGCGTCTTACTTATACGTAGGTGCCTGGCATGCGTATTTTTCCGTATTTCTTTGCCGGAGCCCGTGTCGCGGGTACAATGCCCACGAACACCACCATTCGCGTCCACCAGGCTACCTACACGCCGACGACATAAAGGACGACCCGATTCGGCCTAGATGGCAAGCCAGCCGGGACAAAGAAAGAAGCGGGTAGAAGAGGGTCGGTGTGCTTACTCATCGGTGCAGTTGTCCGCCTCGCGCGGTTTGCACGTGTCGAGAAAGTGCGGCCGCGGCTCGCCGATCAGGAGTTTCATGATCTCGCAGACGAGCGTGAGCGTCGTAATCCCCGCGCCGTAGTGGCCGTACCAACGCCAGATCTGTCTACCCCGGGTGCCGTAACACGATGCGCTCTCGTAACTGTCGGCGGGATAACAGACGTATTCCACGATCCATATCTGAAATCGACCAAAAAGAATCCTAATATTACTCTCGAGCTGACTCGTTTTAACCGAGCTGAATCGAGAAAAAAAGATGCAGATCTCCTTTTCTCTGTCAGAGTAAATTGTTGTTTTTTTTTTTGCATACCGCCACTCGTTTCGGAGTGGAGATTATTGAAATATATAGGAGATACATCTATCTTCTTTTAGTTTTCTTATTAATAAATAATTCAATGGTCTTATACTGGATTCTTGCATGGAACTTTTCAGTTCCAAGACAAGAAATAAATTCAAAATTTATGAGCGTTTACAGAGCGCAACATTTTAGAAAAGAATAAGAATTATATTATACGACATACAGTCGTCGATTTTATCGAGACTAATTTACATTTCCAACATGACTTACATGACTTACATATGATAAAGAAAATGTAAATGTATCGTAATATCTGGTTGAAGTAGCATTGCATAAAACGTATTCAGCTTCAAGTATAATAGATGACTTATACAGAGCTTCAATAATAGTTTTTTCAGTTTAGCATAGAGAGCAAAAATACGAGAAACAAGATTACTTACCACTACTAAAGGCAGGCCTATACTGAAGCCTATCAATAGGGCCATGGAGATTGTGTCGCCTGTGAATTTGAACGAGATCTTCGGGTCATTGCAGAAGAAGCCTATTTGCTGGTATGGCACCACGTTGAATTCCAGAATCGCCAGGAGTACGGTCACTAAAATGCAATAAACAATCACGAATCAGAATAGACAGGTAACAATTTATTCCGTTTAGGAGAGATTACAAATTACAACTCTCTGAGATACAATATTTGGAAAATAACTTACAACCTAATCGCAAGTCAGAATATTGACCTTATACACGAAAGAATGGTTTTGCAAAAAGTATCTAAAAATCTAGCTAGATACAGATTTGAAAATAATTTTGTTGGACCATCAAAATAATTATGTAGGACGCTCGAGCATTGATGATGATGCAGCAAAATGTTTTGACATTCTAGCAACCATAGTTTAAACGTCCTACATAATTATTTTGACAGTCCAAAAATATTATTTCAGGTCTGTATCCAGCTAAATTTTCAGATATTCAACAAAATCGTTTTTCCGTTAGAGATGACGCTTCGGCGCCTGCAATACTTAAATCAGCACTCTGTGCATGTGAAGAAAATTATTAATATATTCTGAATAATTTAATGATGATATCTGCTTTTGTTATACTTTGGGTACTTATTGTTATTCTATGAAAGATACCAATTCAAATCGTTTGATTGAAAGAGTATTTAAATTGGCAGAATCTTTCAGTCATTTTTTAAAAGTTTACAAAATTCCCTCAGTCCATCTTATTTTATTATTAATTACAAAAAATAGTGATCTAGTGAAAGTGACTTAATTAGGGGGAGGGTGGAGTTTTTAATGTTCCAACAATAACTGTGTTATAAGTCCGACAAAGAATTGACGCGCAGTTTAATAAGTTATAAAATATGTGTACCTATATATGTTATGCTCGAAACATGGGCACTCCTAGGATTGATTAATCAATTCTGCTAAACGACCAAGCGTCTTGGTCAAAGTCTTCATAGTCATTTGCTGATATGTGTGTATAGACAGTACAATACCGCGGCGGAGTCCATCCTCTGTATAAAAAAAAAAACTAATCCAACTCCAAGCCTATTCCTAAAAATTGCTTTAACCAAGACGCTTGGTCGTTCCGTAAGGTTGACTAGTCAATCCTAAGAATGCCGCGTTTCGGACTTGACCGTAACATATAGATACACACACAGAAAAAAAAAAGTTGCTTCAATTAAACGTCGACGTCACGGGCTGCCACAAGCATATGTAGTTAATTCAATTGGATATTATTGGACCAAATATTTAAATTATTAAAACAATTATCTGATGTTTTTTGTTCATTAATATTGATGTTGCATCAATAAATTTTATCTCAATAACACTGATATTGTTGATACAAAAAATGATGCTGTTGCTACATCATTTTTTTTCCGTGCATAGAAATAATATTAGGTTACTAAGATCCAAGCTGGGATCGTAAATGGCATTTTATTCTAATTTGATTGTATATCGTAACTGTCTTATGTCTATACATTTAATTCTTTCATTGTTATGCTTGTTAAAATAATAGATATTTCGCCCAAAAAACTCGGCGTTGCTAAATAAATATGCATGCAAATGTTTCATGCGCATGTGTGAAGTTTAAATGAAAAACGAATTTGATTTAAAATGTGAATACATATATGTGCAAAGTAGATTTAAGATAATCTACCAGTATATATATGTATATATATAGAGAGACGGCTTCTCCTTTCTCCACATGAAACATTCGCATGGATATTTTGTTGGCAAATTTTTTGGACAAAATATTCTGTTATTTTGATAAGCATAATAATGAAAGAATTAAATGTCCTAATAAACACAATTTTTTATGCTCAATGCCAATTCTTTTGCATTAAATATTTTATTATTCTTTCTTAAACTTGGTGCCAATCATACTTTTTGTAGATAGAATATACAACAGCTTCTTTCAAAAAATTTAAAATGAATAAAATATAGGTACAATAGCTTTTTCCTTAAGATTTGAAATATACAATAGTTTTTTTCTAAAGATTTTTATGTATGATAGAATATAGCGCAGAGATTAAAACAACACGGTTTCACACACATAATGATATTTCGGCGCGGACACTTGACACTCCTATTTATCATTTTTAAAAAAGTATGCGTGTTATGCCGCCCCTGCTTTCCTTGTACATGTCATATGACTAATACAAAGTCTAATATGTGAATCAAAAGCTCACGTATTTACAGGAATCATCATCGCATACGTGACCGAATATGTCGCGTAATCGAGAGATTGCGACTTCCTTATTGATTTTTAGCGCCAATCGAGAAAGATAATAACGGAGGAAATATTTGCCAAGCTTTTCCTACTATATTTCTCGCATTTTAATACCCTTCAAGTTTAATGCTTCCGACAGATGAAACGTTTCAGCGTATGTTGGTAAAGACGTTGTTTGACGACCTCTCTGATAAGAATCATCGGTCCTTCTGATAAATCAATCTGTGTCTAGAGATGAGTAATCACTATATGAATGAGTCGTCTAAATTCCGACGAGTTGCATAAGGATAAATAAGATTTCCGGAGCCGCAGGTTGGAGCTCGCGCAAATGAGCCGGAACGCCTCGCGGAACGCGAAGCCGATATGCCGCCGATGCTTTCCGCAGACCGGCGAAAACATTGGCCCATATTCTCAGTTAGCATTTCATAGATAAAAGCACGCTTTTATCGATAAAAGTGAACTGAGAAGACGGACCATTCTCTGCGTTTCGTCCACGTCAGTCGCGAACATGAAGCTCATCTTCCGGAATTAGCGCGCAAGATTGAATGACGCGTTCCGAAGCGTACAGCGATATATAGCGTTGAATATCTAACATATAGCTCACGTTATGTGTACTGTCGAGTACATTTTGGAACGCGTCCCAAGCCAAGTCGCGATTGCAGCACGATCGAATAAATTTGTAATCAGATAACGCGCGCGCGGTATGACGAGCGTTTTATCTCTCACGTATGTATATTGAAAATTCTACGTTTTTTTCCCCGCCTCGTACGCACCAACGGCAAAGTGATTGCGACGAGACCACTTGATCAGCAGACGCGGCGTCATCCTTCGTCTCTCGACGGCTCTCTCTCTTATCTGTCCTTTTTCTTCCTTCGCGACAGAAGGATTTTCCTCGTGACGGTGCATCGTTCTCCGACGAGCGGACGATCGCGCATCCCGCGGCAGGAAGGAAACGTCCTTTCGACGACACCGCGACGTTACTTACTGCTCGTTCGCTCGTCCGTCACGCGAACGGTTCTGACCACCGAGGCGCTCGCATCCTCGCATGTCGCACGTCACGTTGTCGTCAATGTGATTTAGCGCGCGTGCGCAATCGAGATACGCGCGAGATCACATTCCAATCGCTGCACACGAGAAAACAATTTCCTCCCTTTCGGAGCAGTGGGAAAAAGTGGCGGGAAGAGACAAAAGATTGATTCGGATCTATAATTCGTGTTTATAGACTCGTCCGTTGTATCGTGTATATACTGCTAAATATTAAAGGATAAACTTTAAACCAATAACCTTAATTTAAGTAACATTTTGTTATTAAACTTTAAATTAATAACAAAATATTATTTAACTTAAACCTTTTATTGATCTTGAACCTTAAGTTAAATAACATTTTGTTATTTTTAACTACCATGTGTGTCGAAATCAATTATTTTGACACAAAACAGTAAGATACTATTTTAAATTTTAACTCCACTGCAGTTTACTTAAATTAACGAAATATTTTGAACAGGAATGGCGACTTATAAGAATGGTTAAAAATGACTCAAATGGAATATAATTTGACACTACGAATTTAACAGTGTATATCACTTATCGATATGTATGCGAATTCGATTTACGAGCAAAACAGAGCAGAGAACTCGCAACCTTAACTTTAGCGAGAAATTTTCTGAAGAATACATTTCAAATCGAATTCTTTCTCGGGTGTAAAATATTCTCGGGTAGTATCTTTTATTATAAAATATAAATAAATATAAACCATTTAGTGTAAAATACGGTAAAATGTTTAAAAATTTTATAATGTAATTTTCCTCGAGGAGATTCAATTTCTATATTAGGACTTGTACATTATACGCAATGTATTTTTATTTAGGATACTATAGGTCTAATCTCGCGTATAATATACATCCTAGTATAAGAAATATATCTCATATTTGCATATTTCCGAGAAAAAATTTTTTATATATATAAGTATATATATAAAATATGTTCGCATATGTTTTCTCTCTCTTGTATAATCTCTGTTCGCTCGTCATATATATTATAAAAAAAATAATCTTTTGCATTGTTTTTTACAACAAATAAAATTGCGATTAAATTATATATTCTTATATTTTATATATATAATTATTACATATGTATGTACCTATATGATTATATATAGGCAAATTTTTTATTTCTTTAAACTTTGTTTTTTTTTAAGAAACAACGCAAAAATTATTCTTTTAATTGTTTTCTATAATTTTTCTTCTTATTACTTTTCTTGTCTGTACGAACGAGGAGATTATACGAGAGAAAGAAAACATATACGGACATATTTTATATATAATTATATGTAAAAAAATTTTTCCCGAATTAGGATATGTACAGCCAAAATTATTAAGCACTTTATTAAAACAAAGTTTTTTCAAAATAGCATTTATCTATTTTTAAAAGAAATAAAAAAATTAACACACTTATAACAATAATTAATAAACGCTCCACTAAACAACTTTTAAACAACAGAAATCTTTCCTGATATTAAATTCAGTACAGCATAATGATTATAAGGGTGCCTAATAATTTAAGGTTGTATATTATGCATCTCGTATTTCTATATTAGGCTGTGTATATTATACGCTAGAGAAACCAAATTTAGTCAAATTTCAATGTATCCGGTCATAAATATTAGATATTCAGGAATATTGGCTCGGTGGGTAGGGTTACGCGAATAATATTAATAACGTAGTCGTTCGGTGAAGCGAACAACATGGTTTAGTCAATTATCTGAATGATAATTCTATATTAGGTAAATTATGCAATATACGCGTCAACGCATATACGCATCTGTAATTTTATTAAACCGTTGACGGTGTATAATGCGTCTAT